GAACTATTTGGATATTCCCAGAAGTAAAAATCAATCATAAAATCTTAAAAACCACTTGATTTATTTGGGTGCCAAAAACCAACGCCAATAACCAGCGCCGAATGCCGATAACCAACGCCAAAAAACAGAGGTTATGGTTTTTGAAAACTAATCATTTAGAAAACCTTTTAATGTGTCCAGAAGCTTAAACCAAGGATAAAAACCCAAAAACCATTTGGTTAAAATCAATGCCAATAACCAATGCTGAAAACCGAACGCCATAGCCGAACGCCGATAACCGATGGTTATGGTTTTGGTTAAGCAAGAACCATGGGTTTTAGAAACATAAAAACCATTTATGAAAATACTCATTTGATGCATGAAAAACATATTTTGTTTTGAGCCATGACGTAGAGAAATTGAATGAGCTTGTTACAATAAAAACCTAAGTATTTAGAATACGTCTTCAAAGCGCCAATGTCGCCATCTTTAGCAGCGTCAATGCCTTTCTTGTGCTTTTTGTTTCTTCAAAGAAATTTTTCTATCTCTTTGAATCTTTTCATTTTGTTCCATGTTCCCGACGGTTTGTCAATATCAAAATCTAAATGGAAACAAACATTGTCATTAGCAAAATGTCAAAGTGAAAATGTTTTCCAACAATTTCCCCCTTTTTGATAATGACAAACCAAGGAGAGGATATGCAGGCCAAGTTGGGTTTTCAAAGAGAGAGTAATGGTAATTCCCCCTACGTCTTTGAAAACAAGATTCCCCCACACTTGTTGCATATACCCAAACACTTCCCTCTTTTGGCATTAGCAAAAAGCACTAAGTAAAGTTTAAATAAAAGGTACTCTGTGAGAATTGATGTTTGATACGAAACATCATTGTTATATGTTCCCCTTAAAACTGATACCATGTTTATAGCAAAAACAATTCCCCCCAAACTCCCCTTGATGCAAATCATTAGGTTTCGTGCTTGGAGCATCCACTACAAAAATGTGGTCTTCAAACACACCTACATATGCATCTAAAAATAATTTTTAGGTACCCAAAAACATTTGAGTCCTTGAGGGTTAGGCAAATAATAATCATAGCTATAAAACAAATCCCTGTGTTTGGTAAAACAAACGGGTGCTATGTGTCCTATCTTAGAGCAATAATGGCAAGCTACATTTGGATTATGCATATTCCTAGGTTGAGCAAAAAAATTTCTATGTGATCTAAAGTCATTATTTCTAGAATTGTAAATTAAGTTCCTAGACTCATTTCTAGGTTGTCTCAAATTATTCCTATCATTTATAAAAATCTTAGAGTCATTTCTAGGTTGTCTCAACTTATTATTTTTATTCTTTCTAAAATTAATTTTGTTATTCATAGGATTATTTGTTCTTCTAGGTGGTTTATCATTCTTAAATTCTTCACCAAGTTTCTTAGGCTCTTCTAACTTAAGTTTTTCTATGGTGCTCTTAAGTTCTACATTCTCTATTTTTAAAGACTCAAAAGAAGAACAAGTAGAACTTTGGCCAAAGGAAGAAGCTTCATTCATTGCCTTAATCTTATTTCTGTTAGAGTTGGTGCCCTTATGGCCAACTGCTGTTGTAATATCTTAGATATTTTCTATCATGTAAAGACAGATGCATTAAGTTTACAAACATCTCATGCTAATGTAAACTCTAATTGCATTCCTAGAATTATATTATAAGATGTTTATCAGAATGAGTCTTCTGATGTTGAGACTGACATCTTGTCACTTAGTATAATTCTGAACGGTCTATTGTCGAAGCATTAACGAGAGTGGGATATCGTTAGTGCGCGTGAGACTAGTGAGAGTGAGATGTTTGACCTAGTCTCTTGGTCAATGACGGAGTGTTCGCATCTACTCTCGGGCAGATATTATCGTTAATAATAGGATGCCAGACCTGACCCACCTTAAGGACATTGCCTAGACTTTTAGTCTATGCTCTAAGTGTCCTTAATGCTACTATTGGTATAACGATCCTCAGACTTGAAGTATTACGTTCTTCGAATGTGTGAACCTGCATGCTTTGATTCATTGTCCTAAGCCGTATGAAATAAGGATGGTACACAGGCTTTGTATTGGGCATGCCGCTGCACATATTCGAAGACGTAGATTACGTACAAAGAATTTGTCACTGCTACTTAAGCAGAATAATGTCTTGTAGGGCCCACTGATAAGTATGACTGAGGAAATGCATGGCCATGCTGAGATGAGTTTAGACATCTGTTCTCATCAGTCAGACTTGTTAATCAGTAAATAACTAAATGGCTACAAGTTGGATATTTTATATCCCTTGCACTAAGTTAAGACATTGGGATAAAAGGATCTACGTTATACAAAGTCTTAGTCGTAGAAAGGTTTTGACGGAGCAAACGTCTGAACTTATAATCTGGGGGTAATAATGTGTTGCTAGATACTGCTTATTACTTATAGTATTGATGTAGAGTCAATACTGTGGCCAGTTTTATAAGTGCCTATATGGTCACACTTTGGACAATTTAAAGAGTAAGATTATAAGAAGGGATAATATTTAATTTCTATATTGTAAAATAGTAAAGTAAAATGTTTGATATAATATATATGTATGTATATACATTGTACACGGCACATATAAATATATATATGTACTTGTTGCATGTACGAATATATATGTGTGTATATGTGTATATACATTGTAACAGCACATAAATATATACATATACTTATTATATGTACAAGCATATACTACCTCCGTTTCTCAAAACAATTCCCCTTTTGACTTTGGGGAAGAATAAGGAAGTGTTAAATTGTAGTTGACTTTCAAATTTTGCCCTTGATGTGATGGGTAAAAGTAAGATGTGATGGTTTAGTTGTTAGTGAAAAAGTATGATGTGATAGGTAGGGTATGAAAAAGTAGGGGTAGAAGTGGTTTTTTAATAAAAAAGGGAAGTGTTTTAAGAAAAACAAAAAAAATGAAAGACGAAGGGTTTTAAGAAACGGAGGGAGTATATGTGTGTAATATGTATGTAACGTGTACATGTATGTATACATTACTTTATATAAAATATATCATGTACATTTTATTTTGGAGTGTCATTTTAATTATGAAAATAATTATTTTGACAAAAACTATTTTAAAGTATATTTCATATATTTATTTTAAAATGTTTTGGGTATTTTATTTTATATCATAAAAATTATTGATGTCAAATAAAATACACTTTAAACATTTGAGAGGAGAACAATTTTTCTTTCCCGCTTTCCTATTTTCGTACCTTTGCATAATATGGTGTGTGTGGGGCTTTGTTTCCCACTACACTTAATAATAAGAGGTGTACTTTTGTTTTTTAGCTTTTGAAGGTGTTTCCCACATTATGCTTTAACAATATATATCATGCATTTCTTCACTCTAGTGTGAGAGTTTTTTTCGGCCAAGAGAGAAGTATAGGAAGAGAAAGAATTATTTTGGGTACCAAAATTATTTTGGTGTAGAAAATTATTATAATATTTTCTTTAAAATATTATTGATATATTTTCTACTATTGAATATACAAGATTTATATTATCCCTAAAATAATCTTTATATCAAATATACTATTATAATCTTTACTAGCATAAAGATTATAGTAGACTCCGGAGATTGTTCGTGTGTCAAAGTTAGAGGCCGGACGCTTGAACGGCTACGTTTGCTCCTTCAACAACTTTTACTCGACTTCTCGTTCATACTGCTTTACTGGAGAAGGTAAAATTTTCTATCTCTAGCTATATTTTTAGTACGTGTTCTTGGGCTAGTAATCACTATTGGGAGATTAATTTTTGTATTTCCGCTGCCCTCCCAACCGTGGTTACCTTTCAGTGGTATCGGAGCCAACGTACAAAACTATAGTTTTTCGTAGAACTTTTTGGTTGGAAATTATTTTTAACTTGGTAATTATTTGTTAATCTAGAAAATTAGTAAAATGATTCATTTTAGTCTTGGAATAAATAATGGACTTAAATAAATCATTAAAATAAATATTCATTATTTATTTGTGCCGAAAATATGTATTTTATACATATATTCGGAAATTTCGAATATATATTAATATATATATTTCGAAATTGTTAATATAATTTTACTGAACATAAAATTTCATTTTATGGTTAGTGAAATTATATTGTAATTTTCAAAATTGTTTATTTCCAATTTTTGAGTTAATTGTATTTGTTTAGATTTAATCCCAATAAATCTTAAATAAATATTGGAAACTCAAAATGAACTTTATAAAACTTGGAAATATTATTTTTAGGTGAAATAAAGTTGTTCATAAATATATTGGACAAAATAATATTAGTTAGTAATTAATTATATATATATATATCGATATATATATATATATTACCGAGTAATATATATATATATATATATATATATATATATATATATAAATTGAAAATGGCTAATATCATTTTGGAAAATTATATCTAAGTAAAAAGTAAGTTTATTTTTCTAAATATTAAATTTTATAATTTAATGATATTTGAAAAATGATTTAAAATTATTTTTTGCAATTATTAAGATATAATTAATATATTTGGGAAATAAATATTTATAAAGTCTGGAAATTTATTTTTCCGATTTATAAATGTATAAAATAGTTACTGGAAGTTGGAAATTAATTTTCATGATTTTTGAAAATTTATTTCAAATTTAAAATGAATTTTGGAATAAACATTGCACAAGGGGCATTTTCGTAATTCTGTATCTACTGGAATTTTATTTTCCAGTTTTGACCCTGGAAGAAAGTCACCTAATGTATTTAGGATGATTTGGTAAAATTTCATAATTTTTGGACCACTTTATGAATTTTTATAAATTTTAGAAAATATTACCAACGTAGTATTTTTCTAGAATTATCTGGGGCGAGCGCGGTTCGTCCGGTGTATGTTTATCTCTATTTTTCTATGATATTCATGGTGGATGATTGTGGCTATAGTTTATTTGATTATAATACGGCCTGCGTGTCGTGCCTTATCTCTTAAACTCTCATTGTAAATCTATTTCTCTCTCTTATCTCAACCGAGGATTCTTTTCTCACGTGGTGGTTAGAAGATAAAAGATTTGAAGTCCGTTCGAGGGAATCTAAAGGAATGGAGATAGCCCGAAGTCCAAGAGCCTGGAAGTCAGTGGGAGCTATCGTTTTATTTTTCCTTTAGTGGCCACAATCATTACACGTTTATTTACAGCGTATTTTGAATGCATGTGAATGTATGTTTAACGCTAGTAAATTGACACGTGCGCGGCATGTGTCGTAGGTGAGATCGTAAAATTTAAAATCCCTCGAAATATTAAGTCTGTATTGCCCTCCGGCGCCCGGCACCTTTCCGGCTAATGTGCAGTGTCACGTACTCAGCCCTAGCAGAGCGTAGTACGGTGTATGTTATGCTGGTCACGGGAATCACTTAAGTGGTCATTGTCAGACGTTGGGTTAGACTTAATTGAGTCTCGGTCAAATGGATGGATGACTCAGAGGCGGGTTTTTGTTGGGGTCACTATACTGACAAGTCGAATTAGTTTACTCACTCATCCAGCCAGAAGTTATGTATCTATGACTTAATTGGGCTTTGCCCTAACTAAAGTAGTTCCGCATGTGGTACGTGCCAAAGCCAATCACATGTACGATGAAACGGTGTTCTGGTCCGTTAGTAGTATTGTAGTTCGCCCAACACAAGACCAAGAACTGTGAGCGCGGCTCGACAGTTGGAACTATGTTCCTACCTAAATAGTTAAATTCTAGGTACGAACCTCAGGTCAACTGGAATTTAATGATATATGGATCTTGGCCCATTAAGAGAATCTCTAGGAGAATCTCCGAATCAACATTGAGGGTTGTTGGTTTGTTAAAATAGTGGGAAATAATTAATTAAANGTTCGCCCAACACAAGACCAAGAACTGTGAGCGCGGCTCGACAGTTGGAACTATGTTCCTACCTAAATAGTTAAATTCTAGGTACGAACCTCAGGTCAACTGGAATTTAATGATATATGGATCTTGGCCCATTAAGAGAATCTCTAGGAGAATCTCCGAATCAACATTGAGGGTTGTTGGTTTGTTAAAATAGTGGGAAATAATTAATTAAAAGAGCTAATTAATTATTCAACATGATAGATAACCTAGTTTGCAATTTCATTCTGTAGATGGCATTGAATAACACGTACAGTCATTCCATCAACCTGTGTTATATCCTCGAGAGCCAAAAACTCTCCGGGGAAAACTTTCTTGACTAGGAGAAGAACCTCCGAATCGTTCTTGACTGTGAGAGGAAACTCTACATCCTCGAAACAGATCCTCCCAAGACCCCTGAGGCAAATGCTCGTGCGTCCGAACTCACTTCCTTCAAGAAGTATGAGGACGACGCGCGAGATGTTAAGTGTATCATTATGGAAAGCATGACCGCAGAGCTCCAAAGGCTCCACACGGACATGGAAGTGCGTCCAATGATACAACGCTTGAAAGACCTTTACCAGGGTCAACCCGAAAACTCAGATATTTACGTTAGCGAAGCCAATATGTCTAATTTCACCTCTTGGGTGATGGATACCGGATGTGGTTCTCACATCTGTACTTCTATGCAGAATTTGCATGAAGTTAGACATTTGACTGAGGGAGAAGTCCAGCTTAAGGTCAGAAATGGAGCACTTGTCAATGCGCTGGCTGTAGGAACTTATGTTCTATCTCTCCCTAGTGGCTTGTTGTTGCATTTAAACAATTGCTTGTTTGTACCTGCCATTAGCAGGAATATCATTTCTGTGTCCTGTCTTGACAAAGCAGGATTTTCTATTAACGTTAAAGACAAGTGCCTTTCTGTTTTCAGAAATGATATTTACTATGCAACTGCTAAGATGACCAATGGTCTTTATATATTAGACTTAGAAGCCACTGTTTATAACGTAGATGTTAAGAGAAGCAAACTAAACAGTTTGAATCTCACATACCTTTGGCATTGTCGCTTGGGCCACATTAACGAGAAACGCATATCTAAGTTACGTCACTCTGGCGTATTTGATTCATTTGACCTCGAGTCTTATGATGTATGCCAATCTTGTTTACTTGGTAAAATGACAAAGGCTCCATTCACCGGTCACGGTGAAAGGGCGAGTGATGTATTAGGCCTCATACACTCTGATGTGTGTGGCCCAATCAACACTGAAGCTAGAGGTGGTTTCTCATACTTCGTAACATTTACTGACGACCTCAGTCGGTATGGATATGTGTATCTCATGAAACACAAATCGGAATGCTTTGACAAATTCAAAGAATTCAGAAACGAAGTAGAGAAAAAGTTAGGCAAAAGTATCAAGACCCTCCGCTCGGATCGACGAGGTGAGTACTTAAGCCTGGAGTTTGATGACTATCTAAAAGAGCACGGGATCCTATCCCAGCTGACTCCTCCCGGTACACCCCAATTAAATGGAGTGTCTGAAAGGAGAAACCAAACGCTGCTCGATATGGTTCGGAGTATGATGAGTCTGACAACATTACCAGAGTCTTTTTGGGGCAAAGCACTATTAGCAGCAGCACACACACTCAATCGCGTACCATCTAAGGCTGTTGAGAGCACACCATACGAACTATGGTGTGGGATAAAACCAAATTTGTCGTACTTGAGGATTTGGGGTTGTGATGTTTACGTTAGACGCCTCATGACGTCTGGTAAGCTGGATTCCAAATCAGATAGGTCTAAATTTATGGGATACCCTAAGGAAACGAAAGGGTATGAGTTCTATCATCCGACCGATAACAAAATCTTTGTTGCTCGGAACGGAACCTTCCTTGAGAAGGAGTTTCTCTCTGCTATTTCTAGTGGGAGAAAGGTAGACCTCGAAGAAATTCGAGAACCACAAAAAGAGATCTCAATAGCAGTGGAACCCGAGCGTCATGATTTAGTGTCTCGACCGACTCAGGTTTTACCACGTAGGTCAGATCGGATGCGTAATCCTCCGGTTAGATACGGGTTCCTTATATCTGATGAAGGTGACGTCTTACTGGTAGACCAAGGCGAACCTGAGACCTACCTCGAGGCAATCACGTGCCCCGAATCCGAACAATGGCTTAATGCCATGAAATCCGAAATGGAGTCTATGTACACAAACCAAGTCTGGACCTTGGTTGATGCACCCGAAGGGATAAAACCCATAGGGTGCAAGTGGATTTTCAAAAAGAAAACAGACGTAGACGGGAAGGTTCATACCTTCAAAGCTAGATTGGTAGCAAAAGGTTATAGAAAAATCCATGGAATTGACTATGACGAAACCTTTTCTCCAGTTGTGATGCTGAAGTTCATTCAGATAATGCTTGTGATTGCAGCGTTCTACGATTACGAGATTTGGCAGATGGACGTCAAGATGGCTTTCCTTAACGGGAACCTCAAAGAGGATGTCTAGTATTCCTAATCCTATATGTCGATGACAAGAAGGTCAGTGGGAGTGTGATAGTATTCCTAATCCTATATGTCGATGACATATTGTTAATGGGTAACGATGTTCCTGCTCTTACGTCTGTAAAGACTTGGTTGAGCGAGAACTTCGCCATGAAGGACTTGGGGAATGCTAGTTATTCCCTTGGCATAAGAATCTACCGTGAGAGGTCAAGAAAGTTGATAGGTCTATGTCAAAGTACATATATAGATAAGGTCCTCGATCGATTTAGCATGTCTAACTCGAAAAGGGGATCCTTACCTATGTTACCTGGCACGGCTCTTTCCAAGAGCCAGAGTCCTTCTACTCCCGAGCAGAAGGAACTCATGATGAAGGTCCCATATGCTTCTGCAATTGGTTCCATCATGTATGCCATGATATGTACTAGACCTGATATCTCATTCGCTTTAAGCGTGACCAGCAGATACCAGGGGAATCCAGGTGAAGTACACTGGACAGCGGTCAAGAACATCCTAAAGTATCTTCGGAATACTAAGGATGCATTCCTGGTATATGGAGGTGAGGAAGAGCTGAAAGTGATCGGTTACACTGATGCGAGCTTCCAAACCGATCGAGACTATTACAAGTCACAAGCAGGGTATGTGTTTTGCCTGAATGGCGGAGCTTTTAGCTGGAAGAGTTCTAAACAAGACACAACCGCCGATTCAACTACAGAGGCTGAGTACATGGCTGCTGCTGAAGCATCAAAGGAAGGTGTTTGGATAAAGAAGTTCATTTCTTAACTTGGAGTCGTTCCTAGCATTAATGACCCAATCCCGTTGTTTTGCGACAACACTGGGGCCATTGCAAAGGCAAAGGAACCACAATCTCACCAAAAGACCAAGCACATTGTACGACGTTATCACATCATACGAGAAATCGTAGACAGAGGTGATGTAGAGATTTGCAAAGAAGGAACAGGTGACAACATAGCTGACCCCCTGACCAAGCCCTTGGAAAAGCTAAAGCATGAGGGTCACACTAGGTCAATGGGCATTCGACCGATGCTAGATTGGCCATAGTGAAGTGGGAGATTGTTGGAGTTGGTGCCCTTATGGCCAACTGCTGTTGTAATATCTTAGATATTTTCTATCATGTAAAGGCAGATGCATTAAGTTTACAAACATCTCATGCTAATGTAAACTCTTAATTGCATTCCTAGAATTATATTATAAGATGTTTATCAGAATGAGTCTTCTGATCTTGAGACTGACATCTTGTCACTTAGTATAATTATGAACGGTCTATTGTCGAAGCATTAACGAGAGTGGGATATCGTTAGTGCGCGTGAGACTAGTGAGAGTTAGATGTTTGACCTAGTCTCTTGGTCAATGACGGAGTGTTCGCATCTACTCTCGGGCAAATATTATCGTTAATAATAGGATGCCAGACCTGACCCACCTTAAGGACATTGCCTAGACTTTTAGTCTTTGCTCTAAGTGTCCCTAATGCGACTATTGGTATAACGATCCTCAGACTTGAAGTATTACGTTCTTCGAATGTGTGAACCCGCATGCTTTGATTCATTGTCCTAACCCGTATGAAATAAGGATGGTACACAGGCTTTGTATTGGGCATGCCGCTGCACATATTCGAAGACGTAGATTACGTACAAAGAATTGGGACAAAAGGATCTACGTTATACAAAGTCTTAGTCGTAGAAAGGTTTTGACGGAGCAAACGTCTGAACTTATAATTTGGGGATAATAATGTGTTGCTAGATATCGCTTATTACTTATAGTATTGATGTAGAGTCAATACTGTGGCCAGTTTTATAAGTGCCTATATGGGTCACACACTTTGGACAATTTAAAGACTAAGATTATAAGAAGGGATAATATTTAATTTGTATATTGTAAAATAGTAAAGTAAAATGTTTTATATAATATATATGTATGTATATACATTGTACACGGCACATATAAATATATATATGTACTTGTTGCATGTACGAATATATATGTGTGTATATGTGTATATACATTGTAACAGCACATAAATATATACATATACTTATTATATGTACAAGCATATATATGTGTGTAATATGTATGTAACGTGTACATGTATGTATACATTACTTTATATATATTATATCATGTACATTTTATTTTGGAGTGTCATTTTAATTATGAAAATAATTATTTTGACAAAAACTATTTTAAAGTATATTTTATATACTTGTTTTAAAATGTTTTGGGTATTTTATTTTATATCATAAAAATTATTGATGTCAAATAAAATACACTTTAAACATTTGAGAGGAGAAGAATTTTTCTTTCCCCCTTTCCTATTTTCGTACCTTTGCATAATATGGTGTGTGTGGGGCTTTGTCTCCCACTACACTTAATAATAAGAGGTGTACTTTTGTTTTTTAGCTTTTGAAGGTGTTTCCCACATTATGCTTTAACGATATATATCATGCATTTCTTCACTCTAGTGTGAGAGTTTTTTTCGGCCAAGAGAGAAGTATAGGGAGAGAAAGAATTATTTTGGGTACCAAAATTATTTTGGTGTAGAAAATTATTATAATATTTTCTTTAAAATGTTATTGATATATTTTCTACTATTGAATATACAAGATTTATATTATCCCTAAAATAATCTTTATATCAAATATACTATTATAATCTTTACTAGCATAAAGATTATAGTAGACTCCGGAGATTGTTCGTGTGTCAAAGTTGGAGGCCGGACGCTTGAACGGCTACGTTTGCTCCTTCAACACCTTTTGCTCGACTTCTCGTTCATACCACTTTACCGGAGAAGGTATAACTTTCTACTCTAGCTATATTTTTAGTACGTGTTCTTGGGAGATTAATTTTTGTATTTCCGCTGCCCTCCCAACCATGGTTACCTTTCAATTTTTAAGGTCAAAATTATCATTTTCCAAAAATTTATTTTCCACTTCCAAAGCGTGAATTTTAGCCTTAGCCTCTTTGGCAAGTTTTGAAGTTTTCTTCAATTCACCAAATAATTCTTGAAAGGCTTCTTGTAATTCTTCAAATGAGAAGGAGTTAGAAGTACTTACCTCTCCATTTTGTTCATTTGCCATAAGACATAAGGTGGTAGTTTTGTCACCGGAACTTTCCGAATCCCATGTCATGCATGCTCGTTCCTTCTTCTTCTTCTTTTCCTTGCGGTTTGGGCAATATGACTTTATGTGGCCAAGTTCTCCACAACCAAAGCACGTTGGAACGGGTTCCCCCTTTCTTTTACAATCTCGGGACCCAAGTTCTTCCTTCAAAAACTCTTGGAACTTTTCGAGCAAGTTATATGAAGGATTATCGTCATCGCTATCAAAGTCACTTACCTCTACCCTTTGTGAGGATGAGGCTTTGAGAGCGAGACCATGACTCTTGTCAAGAGAAGGTTAAAGAATAGTAGATTCATAAGGTTTAAGATTACCTCGAAGACCATCGATGGTGACATTGGTGTTACCTATCGACTCGTATATCTCATCAGCTTTTGAGCGCCATTCCGGTGTTAAGCTCCGAAGGATTTTTCGAACAAGATCTTTGTTTGAGTATGCTTTCCCAAGGACATAGAGATCGCTGATGATCTTTAAAAATCGGTCGAACATTTGATCAACGCTTTCAATTTCCTTCATTTTAAACAACTCATATTCATGGGTTAGAAAATCAATTTTAGCTTCACGGACTTGAGGCGTACCTTCGTATGTCACTTCAAGCTTATCCCACATTTCTTTTACGGTGGAGCAAGAAGAAATTTTCCGGTAGTCATCTGGGTTAATTGCACAGAAAATCAAGTGTTTAGCTTTTTCAAAAGCTTCTACCTTCTTGATATCTTCAGCATCATATTCTTCCTCCGTCTTTGGGATGGTGGTTTCACCAACCTTTTTCATTAGCATCGTCTCACCATTTTTGATTATTAACCACAGTTGGAAGTTGATTGATCGAATGTAAATCCTCATTCTTTCCTTCTAATAGGTGTAGTTTGTTCCATCAAAGAGTGGAGGTCTAACGGTGGAGTGTCCTTCGCTTAATCCTGCATACGACATTCTCAACAAGAAATATAGATCGTTCTCTCAACCCGTTAAGGCTTTTAGAGAGTTAGACTCCGATACCAATTGTTAGAATAAGTTCCCTTCACTAGAGGGGGGTGAATAGTGAGGCACGAGAATGTTTATAAATTTTCGCGGAATAAAAATTGCAGGGATAAAGTAAAGAACGGAATAAAAAGCGTAAGGAAAAAACACACCGATATTTATACTGGTTCACCACAACGTGTGGCTAGTCCAGTCTCCCGAGAGACTCTCTCGAGCTACACTACTTCCGTTAAGCTTACGGGTGCTTAACAAACCGTTACAACCTGAGAACTCGAGTCCCACGAGCCTCAATACGCTTGCTCGGAGATACCACACTCCAAGACTTCCACCTGAAGAAATATGCCCTTCCTTCGTACAACCAAGGGAATAAACCTCCCTTAAAGTGTTCACAACACTTAACCACTCAAGCACAAAAACTCTCTTAAAGAGTAGAATATGAGTAAACTAATTTAGATCAAGAACACACTCAGTTCCTCAAGAAATGGCTCTAAAAAACTATGTAAAAAGTTTATGGAAAGATGCAATGTAAAGCTATGAAATGTGTGAGGAATGGATGTGAAAAATAGACCCAAGAGACCCCTTTTTATACCCAAAAACAAGTGTTAGAATAAGTGCCCGTTACTAGAGGGGGGGTGAATAGTGAGGCACGAGAATGTTTATAAATTTTCGCGGAAAAAAATGGCAGGGATAAAGTAAAGAGCGGAATAAAAAGGAGTAAAGGGAGCACACCAAGATTTATACTGGTTCACCACAACGTGTGGCTAGTCCAGTCTCCCGAGAGACTCTCTCGAGCTGCACTACTTCCGTTAAGCTTACGGGTTCTTAACAAACCGTTACAACCTGAGAACTCGAGTCCCATGAGCCTCAATACACTTGCTCGGAGATACCGCACTCCAAGACTTCAACCTGAAGGAAAATACATTTCCTTCGTACAACCAAGGGAAACAAGATTCCCTAAACGTGTTTACAACACTAAGAACACTCAAGAACAAGACTCTCTTTAAGAGTAGATGTTGAGTAAACTATATACGCTTAAGAACAACTCAAACTTCACAAATTGGCTCTAGAAAGCTATGTAAAATAATGTTGTTTGGATGCAATGATAATATGAATAAAGTGAAGT